TAGTCAGGAGTCGGATCGCAGGATGGGATCTGGTCTCGATGTCTCGGCCGGCCGGGCTTATATACCCGGCCGACGTTCCCCACTGCGCGCCGTCGGTCCCGGGTGGCGGGGGGAGTCGGGTATTCGCGTGGGGGACATCGCGAGCGAGATAGCGTGAGCGAGACGGCGCGTGCGCCCTGCAGGCAAGCGAATGCGATAGCGCGAGTGGTGTACGTGCAAGCGGGATGGATAGTGTAGGATAGTGAGCCCAATGTTTGTATATATTATGTATATGTATATGTATGTATGCTCGTAACGGCCCTGCCGTTACAACATGCATATTTTATATATTGATGGGCATTATTGTCACCTTTCTACCTCCTTTGTTTTTCCTTCTTCCTTTTTTAAAGTCGGAACCAAAATATCTTCCCTTTACTCCTTCGGCTCCTCCTTCCCCATATCAAAATCTCCACATATCTCTAATACACATTTTTCCATTTCTTTTCACATTTCCATACCGTGGTATCTATAGCACCATCCAATCCTGTTGCCTTCTTCTCATTCTTTTCCCAGTATTCTCTAAATTCATCTCTCTCCAACCTCCTTTCTTCTCCCTCTCCTTTTACCTATCTTTTTTCCTACCCCGTAGCATCTCACAGAAATATTCCTCCCAATCTTCCATTTCGATCTCCTTATTTATTCCTTTTCATTTTCTCCTTTCTTCATTCACTATCTCCCACACCTTTCTTTCCGTTCGTGCTTCCTCTGCCTCTCTCTCCCATCTTTCATTTTCTTCTTATTTTTTTCTTTCATACTGTAGTGTATGGAGTTAGGCCGATATTAAGTAGACACGCGTACACATTAACACGTTTATTATATTTCATATTACAGAGGAATATTCTATACTGGGTTCTAACTTGGCCGGATGCATAAGTGACGTTGTTTTTTCCCCATCCGGTAGGAGGCGCCTGCGAATGTTTCCTTCCGAAACTAAGACTCGTAACACTCTCTCCCTCGTTATTATTTAAAAGTTCAGCCGCTCAGGCTCTTCTAATTCTCTGTGAACGACGTGACGCAGTCTCCGGAGTTAGGTCTGCAGCTTCCCTAGGTAGGGTAGGTTCCATAGATTTCTGTTGCTCTTCAGGAGTAGGAGTGATAGATCTTCTTGCGACCGGACTTGGTCCAGGTAATGTATCTCTCGCCTCTTCTGGGCTAAGTTGCACAGTTTCTTTTGTTTCCGGTTGATTTTGTGTCGGTGACCTCTTGCAGATGTCTCAGACTAAGGTGGTGCGTATCAGGTATGTAGACATTGTCTCATGCATGCAGACTTTATAATTTGGTCAACATGCCTTTGATGTATCCTTCCGTTTGTTTCTACTTCGTAATGCAGTTTCCCTCTTCTGTTAATGATTTCTACGGATCCATTTATTACTGTCATACATTCTAATCTGTACTCTATCTCCTCTGTTAAATTCTTTTCTTATTAGCAGATCATCATTCTTGCATTCTTTTTGTTTTTCTTCTCCTCTTCTTACTAAGTCAATCCTTGTTCTATATAATCTCTTGAACATCATCTCTCCAGGACTCAAACCCGTCGCACTATTTGGTGTCTTCCTGTACATCATCTGGAATTTATGAAGTTTGTCTTGTAGCAATCCTTCTTCATTAGTCATTGCTTTGAGTTTATTTTTGAAAGTTTGTACATATCTCTCTGCTTGCCCATTTGTGGATGAATGAAAAGGTGCAGTGAACTTTGCTTGAATCCCATTTTTCTTCAAAAATCTTAGCATTTCTTCTGATTTGAACTGTCTACCATTGTCTGAAACTTGGGTGATAGGTAGCCCGAATGTGACATATAATTTTTTGAGTATGTTTATCGTTGATGTAACTGTGATGGATGTAGTTGGTATGACTTCTAGCCACTTTGTGTAAGCATCTACAACAACCAGGAAATATTGATTCATGAATGGTCCGACATAGTCTATGTGAATTCGACTCCATTGCTCTTTAGGATATTCCCAGCAATGTACTGATACTTTTACAGGATTTTTCTGCATTAAACAACACATCTTGCATTATTTTATCATATGTTCAATGTATCTAAGTCAATATTTTTCCACTATACATAACTCCTAGCTAATGCCTTCATCTTTACAATACCTGTATGAGCTGTATGCAGTTCTTCTAAGACCTGTGGTTGTAATTTCTTAGGTATTACAATTTTTGTACCATAAAAAATGCAGTTGTTTTGCAATGAAAATTCATGTAGTCTCTTTGGGTCCATTTTGCCTAATTAAATGTCCAGGTACAGTTTTTGTAAGTTCGGGTCTTTTCTAGCAGCTTCTGTAATTTCTTGTAATGTTATGGGCATTTCAGAGATTTGATTTAAATAGAATGCATCATCATCTGTTAGGTTTTCCTTTGTTGTTTCTGTAGAATTTATTTGTCTTGAGAAGTAGTTTACATTTGCATGATTTGTAGTCTTCCTGAGTTTAATATCATAGTTAAACCCTGCTAAAAAATTTGCATAATGTACCAGTCTAATAGCTGTGGTTGCAGGTGTAGCCTTTTCAGGATGAAGTATTCTAGCTAATGGTTGGTTGTCAATAATCAATGTGATTTTTCTTCCATAGCAGAATTGAAAGAACTTTTTTAGTCCCCATATTAACGCTGCTGCTTCTTTGTCCAGTTGGCTGTAACCTTTCTCAGCTTTAGATAGAGATCTTGATGCAAATGCTATGAGTCGTTCAGTCTTATCTGGCATTATGTGTGATAACACTGTTCCTAATCCGATAGGTGATGCATCTGTAGCCAGGATCACTGGTAAATTTCCATGAAATGGTATCAAAACTTTTTCCTCCTTTAATTCTTGAAAAATCTTCTCACATTCTTTTGACCAGACAAATTTTGTATCTTTCTGTAACAGATTATACAGTGGACTTAGTTTTGATGCCAGATTTGGAATAAACTGCTGATAATAATTTATCATTCCCAAAAAAGTACGTAGAGATAATACATCAATAGGACGTGGGACGCTATTTTTGATATCGTTAATTTTATCTTGAGTAGGATGTCCATTTTCATTTATTTTATGTCCCAGATAAGTTACTGACTTTTGGAAAAATTGACATTTCTTCCTATTTAGATGTAGTCCACATTTTTATAATTCTGGAAGACTGTTCTAATTCTTTGCAACAGCTGGATGTATGTTTTTCCTTGTAAGGCAATGTCATCAAAGAAACATGCTGTACCTTCTATTCCTTATAGGGTTTGATCCATGTAACGTTGCCAAACATTTGGTGCTATTTTTACACCAAACATTAATCTTTTTACTTTATAGGTGCCCTTGCATGTGCTTATGGCCTGCATTTCTGCTGTATCATCATTGGTTATCATGTGTAAGTATGCTTGATTTATATCCAGTGTGCAGAAGTATTTTCCACCACTTAATTTTAAAAATATTTCTTCAATTTTTGGAATAGGATAATTATCATTTTCGAGATTTTTGTTTATCGTAGCCCTATAGTCTGCACATAAGCGCATCTTCTGCTTTATTACAGGGACTACCGGTGTGCCCCACTGCGAGTAAGTAACTTTTTCTAATATTCCTGCATCCTCCAATCTGTCTATCTCTGCTTCCACTTGATCTTTGAGTGCGAACGGTACTGGATATGCTTTCAAAAATACAAGTACTACTCCTTCTTTCAATTTAAATGCAGCTTGATAGTCTTTAATTTTTCCAATCTTTTCTGAAAATAATTCTTTGTATTCTTCTATTAGGTTTCGTAATTATCTAGGTTTCGTAATTTTTCTTGAAATTCTTTTTCAGTTATATCCTTATCATCTTTATATATTGCATTCACTTCAAATTGTAAATTTAATTTTCTTAACCATTCTCTTCCTACAACTGGATCTACTCTTTTTTTTCATAAATATTCTTCCTTGAACTTGCTTATCTTTGTATATAATTTTTATTTTGCAGGTCCTGATGGGTTGTATAACTTCACCTGTGTAAGTTCTCAATTTTACTGATGTATTTGTAAGTTTCAGGCTTTGAAAATTCTTGTTGAAATATTCAGCAGAGCATGTTGTAATTGCTGCATCAGTATCCAATTCTAAGGTATGTAATTTTCCATTTAAGTTTAATGTTATATTGAATTTATCATTTTGTGTCATATTTTCCAATGGTATTTTATGTATCTCATATATTTCTTCATCGCTGTCATGTGATGATGAATCTTCTTCAACTTCTAGTTGTTTTGCTCCTCTAGTTTTTGCTTCTTAAAACACACAGATTGTAGATGTCCTTTAGTCTTGCATTTCTTGCAGAACAGTTTATTTTTGAGTCTGCACTGACTCGCTGTATGATTATTTTTATCACAACGGAAACACTGTATTTCTTTTTGCTTTGTATCATTTTCTTTATTTGTGTATATATTATTCCTGGATTTGTTTACTGATATTTTATTTATATTGAATTTGTATTTCTTGTCCCATCTCTTTAGTTTCTGACTTAGACGTTTCTATGGCCATGGCAATTTTCATAATGTCATCAAACTTGGTATTTGGTGATTTCTGTAGCAGCCTCTCTTTTATCTCTGCATTACGCAGTCCTCGGATAAATTGGACTCTGAGGTGAGTTTCAAATGTTGTTTGTTTGCAATTATTGCAAACAAAGTTGCATTTTCCGCCTATTTCTTTTAAACCGGCTACATAGTTTGCTATGCTTTCGTATTCTTGTTGCGCTCTAAGACAAAACTGTTGTGCTACTTCCCCAGGCTCAAGTGCTATGTGGTTCCCCAGTATTTTCACTAATTCATCATACAATTTCGACTCAGGTGTATTTGGTGCCGTTATGTTTTTCAACAGTTGGTAATGTTTCAGCCCGATACAGTTCAAAAAAATTTATAATTTTGTGATTTCGTTTGTAACACCCTTTAGGATTATGTAATTTTGCAATCTTTGCAAATAGCTGATAAATGATTCATTTACCTCGTCATACGGCTGTAAGTTGATGCCGCTGATATTTTTCGTACCTTCATTTAGCAGTGCTTTTTGTAGATTTGCCTGCATTGCATGCCGCGCATTGTCTCCATCATCTGCGCCAGTACTTGCGATATTATGCCTCCATTGTATTTCGTATTTGTGACAGGGAAAAAAGAAAGGTTGTGAAGCGGGCTATCATCACAGGAATTGGAGCTTCTAGATTGAAGGAAAAAGGTTGGTGGACACACTTGGGAGTACGTAATTTTCCATTTTAAGGTTATGCTCGATGCACGTGTACCTACCACGCGTGTTATTTTTGCGCAGATTCACTTTTTCCCTTATCCCATCCTCGTCGTCAAGCTGTAGTGTATGGAGTTAGGCCGATATTAAGTAGACACGCGTACACATTAATACGTTTATTATATTTCGTATTACAGAGGAATATTCTATATTGGGTTCTAATGTCTACTTGGCCGGATGCATAAGTGACGTTGTTTTTTTCCCATCCGGTAGGAGGCGTCTGCGAATGTTTCCTTCTGAAACTAAGACTCGTAACACATACATTTCTCTATATTCCTTCTTTTCCCTTCTGTGTTTTAACTCTCACCCGTGTCTGTCCTTCAACCTCTTAAAACTCTCCTGACTAACCGTTTCTTCGTTACACATTTTCCATCCCATCCCATCATTCTTTCTCTCTTTACCTCTTTTTTTCATTATTTTTTAGTGTCCTCCTTATTTTCTTTTCCACTATACCTATTATCTCTTGTATCTCTCCCTTTGATGTTTCCATCCTTCCTAGTTCTCTCTTAAATAGCTCCATATCCTTCTCACATCATCTCTCTCTTTTTCTAATCTTCTTTCCTTTATTTCTCTCTCTTCCTATTTCTACTCTTAGCCTCACCATCGATAATGATCTGAGTCCCCTTAGTCTTCTATTTATTAGGTGTACAAAAAAGTTCTGAGCTTTAGATTTCATACAACCGAAATAACAATTTAAATTTTACATACCTTTCCGCCTTTTTGCGGTTTTAAAGCGTTGACATTTGGCCTTCTAAAATGCCATACGGTTTGGCGTTTGATGCACATACCCTCAAAAATCAGTAGTGTTCACGATGGCAATAACAAAAGAGCATATTCGATTTTCCATCCACTTCGCGTTTCATCTGAAGAAAAATGCTGCTGAAGCCACTGCAATGATTTGTGCTGCATATGGAAAGAACGCTATAAGTCATACTACATGTAAAAGATGATATCAAAAATTTCACCAAGGAGATTTCAGTCTTGAAGATGAACCGCGTGCTGGACGTCCTCAAAAGATTGAAACGGACGAATTGCAAGCACTGCTGGATATAAACTCTGCGCAAACTGAAAAGGAGCTTGCAGAACAACTTGGCTTTACGCAGCAAACCATTTCCGTTTACATACGTTTACATACGATGGGAAAGGTTTAGAAGGAAGACAGGGTTCCGCATGAATTGTCCGAAGATAACAAAAATCGTCGGCGTGACACTGCACTCACTTTGCTTTCAAAGTTCCGGAAAAAAGTTTTTCTGCACAAAATCATTACAGGCAATGAAAAGTGGATTCTTTATAATAACCCTAAACATAAAAAATCATGGATTGATCCTAGTCAACCTTCGACATCGATGCCAAAGCCCAATTCACGCCAAGAAGGTTTTGCTCTGTATCTGATGGGATTGGAAAGGTGTGTTGTATTAAGTTGTTACAACCGGGTGAAACAATCACGGCAGACCGCAACAACATTTGAGCGATGCATTAGAAGAAAAGAGGCCATTTACTGGCCAAGGTCGTAAAGTGATCTTGCTTCATGACAATACTCGACCACATGTTGCGAAAGCGACTCAGGACCATATCTTTGCGTTAGGCTGGGAACTTCTCTCGCACGCGGCGTATAGCCCAGACATCCGATTGGCGCTTTCCGATTACTACCTCCGATTCCGATCGCTGCAGCATCATTTGGCTGATACACATTTCGTGAGATTTGAAGAGATACGAAAATGCATTGATGACTTTATCGCTTCGAAGCCGGTGAGCTTCTATCGTCAAGGAATTCGCAAGCTACCCAAAAGATGGCAAAAGGTCGTTGATGCAAACGGGGGAATATTTCGCTGAATAATATTTTTTTGTTTGTTTTTGAATAAAGATTGAATTTTACAAAAAAAAGCTCAGAACTTTTTTGTACACCTAATACAAATATTTTACTTCCTCTCTTATTTCCTCACTTACTAACACATATTCGATAACCGATTCTCCTCCAGCTCTATTGTACGTCTAATTTCCCTTTATACCTCTCTCAACTATCTATTCAAAATAAACCATCTTCTCTCTCCAATATTCGATCAACCTTCCTTTCCTTATTTAATTTTTTATCCTTCAATGTCCTTTCCGTCTCTTCTTCCCTTCCTTCTTCTACATTTATCCTCCTCCCTTTATTCGCTATTCTGGCATTGACATCTCCCTCAATTTCTTATTCTAATTTCTTTCTCTCTTCATCCATTCCTCCAACTTCTCCAGCTTTTCTTCCATATTCCCATTAATATACACTTCCATTACCCTCAAACTATCCCTATTGTATTTTACTTTTCCCGTTATAATCTCTTCCTTTTCATACGTTTTTTCCTTCCTCCGATTAACTAATCTTTTTCCTGACTCCTAATCAAACTCCACAATCACCCTTCCCTTCCAGTTCTTTTTTCTTGTCATTTGTGCCTTCCATTTATATCCTTCAGGTAATTTCTTCTTTATATTCTTCCATCTTTTCTCCTCAATCCATGTCTGTATTAACATCATTCCCTCTCATCATTCCTCTCTCAAAAACTTCCCATCCTTATTCATTAGTCCCGTCACATTCCAGAAGGCTGTTTTTATATTTCTCCCACGTTCCTCCTCTTTTTCTCCTCTCTCTTCTCTTCTTCTGTTATCTCCCCTTCCTCTTCTCTTTCCCGTTTCTTCTTCTTTCCCTCTTTCCTTCCTTTTCCCCCGCTTCTAACGCCCCCTTTTTTCTCCACTTGTTCTTTTCCTTCTTCCATTTTTCCCTTCCTTTTTGAACTCTTCCTTTCACTTCTTTTCAACTTTATCCCTTAGTCCATCCTTTTCCTTATCCTATCTCTATCACACTCACTCTAGTTACACTCTTTCTATTCATATTCCCCAATGCCACATTCTTCTCTTTATCTCTTCCTTCAATGTCACTTTTCCAACATTCTTTTATTCTCCTTTTTTTCCCAAACCAAATCATGTTCTATCCACATTTCATTTCCCTTCAACTTTCATTTACTCATCAAAATATTCCTTTTCATATCTTCATTTTCTATCATTCATCCTCACTACTATTATGCATCCCTTCTTCTTATTATCTGTTCCTACTCTCTTTATTTTCACTTCCACTTTTAACGCTTTCAGTAGCCTCTCTATTTTTTCTTTAATCATTCTTTCTCCTTTATTCTCTTAATTATAATGTTCCTTTTCCTAAACTGTCTCTCTCTCTCTCTCTCTCTCTCTATCTTCTCTACTCTCTCTCTACTCTACTCTTCTCTCTCTCTCTCTCTCTCTCTTCTCTCTCTCTTCTCTCTCTCTCTCTCTCTCTCTCTCTTCTCTCTCTCTCTCTCTCTCTCTCTCTCTCTCTCTCTCTCTCTCTCTCTCTCTCTCTCTCTCTCTCATTATCATCTCCTTTTGTTCCTCCGCCACCTTTCTAATTTCGCTCCCTAAATCATTTACTCTCCTTACCTTTTATCTCCTTTTATCTCCTCTCTTAAATCCTCTCTCCAATAGCTCTCCAATTAATTCTATAACTTCTTTTACTAAATCCTTCTTCCATCCGTTCCTTAATGACCTCATTAGCTTATTACTTCTTTTGAAGATTTCCGTCTCCTCTTCTTTCTCTCCTGTATCCACCCCCAGCATTTCCCTCTTTTAAACTGTTCTTCTATACTATTCATCGTATTCCGTTTCTTTTTAACTAACTTTGCCATCTTCTTATTTATTCCTGTTCTCGTCCTTTTCTTTGCCTACTATTCCTGTGCTATCTATGTACTTCCTAATCTATGGCTCCAACTGCCTCGTTCGTTACTTGCGCCACGCAGTGCTATCAGTTATCTTTCTTTCATAACTTACTCACCCGCTTTCTTTCTTTACTAGCTTTTTTCTCTTCCATCTTACACTGCCTTCACTTACTCACCATTCCTTTACCTTTCCCTCCCTTCTCAGTACTCACACTCTCTCTTCCACAACTTCCTCCAATTTCTTTACTTACATTTCTCTCTTA